TCACGCGAATCAAAAATAACCCACAGTAATGCAAGAAAGATATATAAACTAGGTAGACTAGGAGGGTTTCATTATTATACTTACCAGTATGGCCCATGGTTGAAGACATATTTTGGTTTTGTTGCGTTTTGCTGTTCATAGCGTATTTTGCTACAGAGAAAATTATCCGAAGTTAAGGTGGGGGTGGTTAATTGACACGTGGCCAGCTACGCCTGACGAGAAAAAGGAATATGAGGGGTGGTTAAGGGTATGAGTTCTTTTTTACCTCTTCTCATTTATTTTCAGCTATTCTTTACCGACAAATTGTACCCTAACGCCGAAGCTGTCAAAGCTGATATGCAGATTGACTACTATGGTCCACCGTGGTCATAATTATTGGCTATCGATAAAGACGACAGACCCCCAGCAAAGAGAGAAACGGCGATAATCGCGTCCCGCAGAGAGAACATCTTTATGTATAAAACAGGACTCTTAAGTTCCAATGATGATTTTTAATAATCGGATGTAGAACTGGATTCCTGAAAAAAAAACGTGGTCGTGATTGACACGTTTCTTGTTGCTGGAGAGATATGATTTTACGATTATGATGTCTTAACTTGTTCCTGTAGTACAATAGAAATAAAATCCTGTGCTAAACGCAGAGATTCTGAATAAACCTTAGAAGCAATTCAAAATATAGTTTGTATGCTTTGATTTTTGTGCACTGTCTGTGTTTAAAGGAAAGAGAGATTTAGTTTGTGAATTATTTGAAAATAGCTCTTGCTCTTACTCTACATTTCGGTTATTATTATTATTATTATTATTATTATTATTATTATTATTATTATTATTATTATTATTATGTGTACGGTTTGTGTCTGGTTTGTGTGAGAAAGTTTTTGGGGTTTTTTTTCGGCAGTACCGAGGTACTGTATTTGTTGATGTCTCCAAAAACGGAGCATTCCTCATCCCATCAAAATATTTCAAAATTTCATCCAAATATTCCACTATCATCTCAATACAATGCTTTTTTGGTAAGATTACAACATTATTTTTAACCAGTAACTTACAAGAACAAACTGATGCTGAAAATTTAATTAATTTTTTTTTTACTTCTGATTTTCAATGTTGTCTAAAACCAAAGATTGCAACTTGCAAAGGAGCTGTCCGCGTTCTTTGGTGTTACCCCGTACTACAGGGATACCTTGGAGACCCTGCCATATGCGATATCTATTCCTTAGAAAAATAAACACAGGGAGTAACACGTATAGGCTTGGGCATAAAGTGAAGCATACTTATTCGAAAATCTCTATTTTTCGAAATTATTCAAAAATAAAACATGCCGATGGTGTACGTCAGATGGAAAAAAGCAGGGAGTCAATTAAGGGTGGCAATGCACAGTAAACATGCACAATCTGTTACATGAGATTTTGCAACAAGTTTACAATGATTCTAGTTTATTTATATCTGGAAATTGATCTTAACATTTAAAAAAAACGCAGTTCACATTTGACCTTATTAAAGGTGTTTTGAAAAAAAAATGAATACGAGGTAAACAAAACTGTCAAAATAACAGTCATACACACTTTCTAAAATTATATGAAACGTTTTGAAAATTTATGATTTGATCCTCATTTTTTTTTAAATTTCAATGTGACCGTTATCAAAAATCGGATATAGGGCTGTCTTAAGCAGAGGGGCTGTACTGCGTAGCAAAAGTGAAAATTAATAACATTCATCTGATGCAGCAAAGTAAATTTAAGCAAATTTTAAGCAAACTTTAAGCACCGATCTTGATACCGGTACGGGTGCTTCGGCGGCAATGTTTGTTATGAGAACAGAAGTGGTAGCAAGAAGAGCCAGCTAGCCGACAATGTACCGGAATGTACACATATGTACATGTACACCTGGTTCTACACAATTTGTACCTGCCTTCTTTAAACAAAGAGACTTTTAATTTTCAATAGATATAGAAAAATAACTGAAATTCACCAGTCAATATTTCGTCTGCTGACTGTCAGGTTTCAACGAAGAAATTAGGGCTGTGTTAGACATTATAACTTATTACGCCCGGCTTTCAGGTGTGCTGGTTGGGATGGTGGTATATATAAATTTTCACAATAATCAATGTCACTTAACATTTAAACGAGCAATGTATCTTGCAAAAACTTTATAATAACACCATTAATCTAATTGACACATGGACAGTCTATCTTAGCTTCTCTCCTAGTAATACGCAGTTTTAAATCACTCATGGTCTCAAAAGAGTATACCTTCGGCAATATATATTACGTAAAAGCATGTGTTGGCACTTTTATTATATCACCAATTATGCAATACTGTCACGTGTATTTTTGTAAGGGGGAGACTAAAACGCTGGAATCAGTTAACCGTAAAATTTATTTTCACTGGTATAAATTAAAAAAAAAACTTGAATAAAATCAGGCCCAGTTTAATTTAAGGCCGAAATTTTTTTAATGATCTCATCAATTCAAGAGGGTCTTTTTTATCTTTTTTTAAATGGTTTACACTCAAGGGTGTTTTTGAGTTCCACCCTACCCGGCCTTCATTACTCTAAAATTAACAATTTTAATTGGCTTCAACCGCCCTTGTTTATCGTTTGGCAACCAAAGAGACATAACAAATGATAAAACAACGCTCTTAGCATCGCGAATCTAAGATTTCCCCCGCTTGAGTTGGCAGGGGAGAAGGATAAAAGAAGCGAGCGGCAGCGTTGGGCGTCTCACTGCTTCCTACCGTTGACAGGTTTGCAGGTAAGGTAAGAGACATATAATAAGGCCAGTCAGTTTGTAGTCTCAACCATAAGCTTATCATTTTCATGGTATCTACTCGGTTTTGCTTTTCGGGAGATAAATGTAAGACGTTCGTGTATGGGCGGTGGAAAGGGTCGGATAAAAAGGAATCTATTTTTTCTCGACTGACCATTGCAAATCCCTTTACCACACATTCTCTTGATAAAAGAGTGGACAATTTCAACAGGAGGTGATTTACTGTATTCATCATTACATATGAGAGAGCTACATGAGTTACATTAACCAACCTGATTTAATTTTTTTATTCAATAGAATGTTTTTTATCTAGAAATATTTATGAATGATACAAATATTTGCTTTTTAGTTCACAATGAAGATCATTCTAGTGTGCCTAGCTCTGCTAGGCGCCACCTACGCTCATTTACCTATTGGTAAGTTTTAAAGAACCAGTAAACCTTTGTATCGATGTTATCATGGTCAATAATTGTCTTTCTTGTCGCGATTTTTATGCATTTGGAGGACATGCGATCACGATAGAAAAATATTAATGAATTCTAACAACATTTATTTTCATTCGAAAAACACATTCTAAAACAACAAAGGTAGAACATTCTTTTTTTCCAGAGGAAGTTGAGAAACGATGCCTGGTTGACAAACCGGGCGTGTCACAAGGTGTCGCCTACGTCGCGGACACAGACTGCGCCTATTTCTGGCAGTGTGATTTCGCCTACACCCTACTGAAGAATATCACCCTCAAAAAATGTCCCATCGGAACGCTGTGGGTCACCATCGGGATTCTAGCATCCCCACCAGCACCCGGTCAAGAACCAGTGGTTTGTGTCAACTGCGAGTTGCAGCCCGACCCTGTGTGTCATGTAAAGTACCCCCTCGGGTCAAAACAGTGCCCATATCGTATGTATCGCTTTATGGTACTTTTAATGCTATGTTTCAGAAACGCTGTTGCCTCACATATATTGCACTGGTTAATATGTACCAATTTTTATCGGGCTTTTTTTAAGTTTAATAAATATATAAAGAAGTAAAAGAAATAAATAAGCTGGATTACCAAACTGATACCTGCTGGTAGCGAGTAAATTTATCCAATGCTAACGAAAAAGGGCTTGTGTTTTTTTGTTGTTTTTTTTTTCATTTTATTTATTTATTTATTTAATTTTAGAAATATGATATTATTGTCATGAATTTTTAAGATATACAGTTCTTAAAAATGATTGTGCAAATTTTAGCTATATTCGGGTTTCTTAGTCACTTTGAAGACATTTAATCTGAT